AGGTTATCAGAAATAAATCGGTCACTTTAGGATGCAGTATCTCAATATCTAGTGATCCTATTCGAGCCAAAATAATACCATTCAATTCATCTCAACTAGGCAAATCAAATGATATATTTTAGCTCAAATCGGATTATTAAATACTAAGATATCGCATCCTAAAGTGGCCAATTCATTTTTATCTAATAAAAAATTGATTAACAAAAACGAATCAATCACTTTAGGATGCAATATATCAATATCCAGCTATCCGATTCAAGTGAAACTATTATCATTCGATTTATCTAATCTAGAAAAATCGAATAATAATAGTTTCACTTGAATCGGATAGCTGGATATTGATATATTGCATCCGAAGTGATTTATTTCATTGTATTATGGCATTAAAGTTTTGACAAACGTATAACATAGTTTACCAGCCTATAAAAGGCATAAATTATCAATATTTATATAGTTCTTTATACGTGAAAAATTTTGGTACATTACATATGATCTACGAAAAATTAGGGGCGGTCGGATACTTATGACCAGTGTTTAAATTGACTTGCGCAATCTGCGCAGCGCAGATTGGAGATTATTTGCGCAACTATTTTTTAAGGGTAATATGTGCATTGCGCAAGTGCAAAAATCGGGTGCGCAGATTTTGCGCATATTAATTTCTTTTTGAAGGTCAGAAAAGGAAACAATTTGCGCGTGATGTATGGCCAATAAAAGCACAGGAGCACAAGTATCGATCAAATTTAGCGGATCTCGCATTGGCATTTTGCCTTCTTAAATATGGACGCATTTGTTATTCGTGAAGAAGTTGGATCAACAAGAAAAGAAAAAGAGAAAGAGTCCGCGCTCGTATCTGCGGCCAGTTCCTCGACAACTACATCGAAAAAAGAGGCATACATTCTGCCTGCGAAAAAGAAGAAAAAAACTACAAACAAAGACATCAACCGAAAGCATGAAAAAAATGACTGGGATCCGGAATGGAAAAATATTTTTCCTTGGCTTGAAAGACGTATTGTTGGAGGAATTCCTTTGTTATTTTGCTTATGGTGTGAGAAATACAACCCAACTGCGAAGAATGTGTTTGTTACCGGCTGCAATACTTTCCGAAAAGATTATCTCAATCACCATTTAAAAATTAACGATCACAACAATGCTATCCGCAACCTAGGGAGACGGTCACCAGATCAAAATGACCTTTTTACGGGATTTTCACTCCAAGTCGACCATGACAAACTACAAATTATTTCAAGAATGCGGTGTGTTTACTTGTGCCAAGAAACATTTGCCAATATCAGCATTCCAGATATCGTTGAATTGACTGAAATTCATGTCAAAAATCTTGATGAACTTGTATATAAACAATCACCAATAACACTTGCTCCGCCACATATTGGACCTCGTAAAGAAAAAACCCCAAATTCTGAACCTCTTGAACTCTTTTCGAATTATGCAAGCTATACAAATCCTGTTTCTGGTGCTAGTTTTTTGCATGCCATTGCTACTGTAATCGAAGTGTTTTTGACGAATTAAGAAGTTCTTCTGCATGGAGTCTTTTAATTGACGAAAGTAATACGATTACACATGACAAAAATTGTGCAATTATTAATAAACATCTTGTACAAAATCAACCAGTTTTACGATTTCTTGGACTAATTGAGTTGGAAGAAACTATTGCAGTCGTAATTATGCAAAATCTGAACAATTTTCTCTTGGCAAAAATGCTCAATATGACGAAATTACTACATTTTGGAAGTGATGGTGATAGCACAATGATTGGTTAGTATTAATTCGATAAATTTGTATAATTGAAATAGATAATAATATTATATTATATTATTTATAAGGCATTCGTAGTGGAGTATTTACACGATTAAAGAAATTAAATCCTTTTATGAGCAGTTGTCATTGTATTGCTCATCGTTTAGCACTTGCAGGAAAAGACTCGGCAACAACAGTACCTTATTTTATGGATTATGAAGTTACCATCAAAGATCTTTATGCATATTTTGGTGCATCTCATAACCGATGGCGAAATTTACGAATATATTAAGAAGATAATGAAGATCCTGAATTGGCAATTCTTCGAGTTGTTTCTACCCAATGGTTATCTATTAAATACAGTGTCAAATTTACACCAAATTATTTTTTCAATCATGGATACACTTCAAAATGACACAACCAATGAACCAATTATCAAGTCTCATGCACATGCACAAGCTCTTCCTGACCAATTGGATGCTGAATTTATTTTAGCTACAAAGTTTTTGGCAGATATTCTTTCTACCATATCAAGCTTGTGCAAAGTTTTTCAATCAGATTATGTTGCACTTTCGGATGTACATCAAGAACTCAACAAAGCAATTGATTCAATAACTGTTGAATTTATTAGCTATCCAAAATATAACATATTATCAACATTTGGATTTCATCTTTGTGAATATCTTGATGAAATTACTATTGCTGTAATTCCAGACTTTGTCAAAGAATTTGCACAAGCAATGGTAATCAACCTTCGTTATCAGTTTCCAGATACAGATTGTATCATACAATGCGAATTTTTGATTTTAAATAATTTCCAATAGCTATTCAAGAAATAGGAACATTTGATGAAGATGAAATTGTGTGATTATTATGAAGTGAATTGTGTGAAAAATGAAGAGGTGTTTGGTTCTATTATTAATAAGATAGAATTTATAAAAGAGTGAAGAAGTGCCAAGTTAATTTTGAGCAATTATACATCTTTTAAATTTGTTCAAGGATGGAAAATTATATTTTGAACAACTTAATTTTATTAATCAATACCCTAATTTGATACAAATTATTCATCTTTCATTAATAATTCCTTTTCTAATGGTAATGTTAAATGCATTTTTTCTCAGCAAAATATGATTAAAACAAAACTTAGAAATCAAATGCAACTTTAAACTCTTAATTCCCATTTAATGATAGTTATGAATGGCCCTTCTTTGATTTTAACAAAGCTTATAATATCTGGAAACAACAACTAAGAAAAAATAATATTCATTGTAATTAGTTTATTTTCAAAATTTTAACATTTTATTAATAAAATTATACTTTTTTTGTAAAAAATTTTACAATGTGCGCATATTAAAAAATAGTTTGCACATATAAATTTTTTATAAAAATTGTGCTAGTATATTTTTTTAAAAAGTGCACATATTATATTGTAAAAAAAAATGATTTTGCGCTTATGACGGCTACTGTACATTTTTGGTAAGCAAAATGATCAAAAGAAACGGGTCACTTGATTTAATGTAAAAGTGAATTGTTTTTCTTTTTAAATTATGAATAAAGAATAAAGTAAATGCAATAGTTCTTTTTATATTTCGCGACTAAAATAAACTTAGTTATATATTGTTGTATATGAAAAGTTATTGCACCGCAAATTTTATCCTTCAAGTGATGCAATGCTTTTGAACGCCACTGTATTCGTTCGCTATTACATATATGGGTGTAGAAAAGAATTTGCTAATTACATGTACAGTCGGCGCACAAGTAATTGTTTAGAACAAATGTGAATCACCCGTTCAATACTTTTTACTCGTGAGTATCAAAATCAGTAGATTTATAATCCAGAAAAACCATTAGTTTAGTTTTCCATCAGTTTGAAGGTTTTAAAATAATCTATTAAAAGATGTGATAATACAATCAAAATACATGTGAAATCCTGATATTTATACATGTACATGTATTATTTATAGATGCGCTGTCTTTACGTACTGCGGTTAATAAGGATTTCAAATTTGGAAAACAATAGAAGTGTAACGTTATTATGTAATAAACATGTTTTTTTGTGCATTGATTAAATAAATATATATATGAAGTAGCTTTGGAATATTGGTATGAGAAAAACGTATATATATATCTCTCCCTCCCTCTCTCTCTTATTCAAAGTAATAAGGTGCTATTGACTTCATGAAATGAATATCGATTACTTTGAATAGCGAACTTGCGGCAGCCAATCAGATAGAGTTGCGGCTCTCATCAATAGTTGCAAACAACTATTTGTCTATAAATATAGTCCACTTAATTTAACAAATTTTAATTCGAAAGCTTGATTTTTTGCCTTACATATTTCCCTTGATACTTGCGGTATATTCGTTTTTTACGTGCACTTTCGGAAGAATGAACCAACCACCACAATGCTTATCACCGTTAGTACCATCCTATTCCCCGCCGGTATATGTAAACATGGTGCAATCCATTATTGATGGAACTACTTTCAATAACCACACGACGATTGTTTCAAATCAAAATAATACCTCGAGTATACTACTTGAAACTTTTAGTATATAAACTCTACTTTCTTTGTTTGTCTCTTATTATGTTCTGTTCTGCCTTTTCGATTATATTTTTTCTCGTTATATATTACTATCTTAATAGCATTATTCGGAATCCGCACACGTTACAATGCATACTCTATTTGCATCAATAGTTTATTTTCCTTTTCAATATATATTTTTACACTTTCTTATTCTTTTTTCGTTTTATTCATTAGACTCGCTTAATTTTCAGGCATCTTTACATATATTTAGTATTACATTTTATTTCAAAGTCTTAAGTAAACGCAATTCACTTTGTGTTGTATTATCATTTCGATTTGATAAAACGATTGATTCGAACCATATTATCGTTTATTTGTATTTACGTTTTCTACAATTACAGATTCTAAACTAATAACATATATTCAATCAATTCCTCTCTTTCTATTTTCTTGAAGTAAGAATATTCGATATATGTGGCATTACTTTTTTTACGATTTTCAAAATAGCCAATCCCATACATCTTTAAAGACTTTATTATATTTTCTTACCGCTCATTGTTATTGGGTTTTTGTCCAGTTTTTGAAGTATCAAGATGGATCGAATGATAGATAAGGCTTCCAAACCAATCGACCACAACTAAATTCGGTGGATATTTGTAGAATATTGAATATAAAGGACTCTTGTAATGTCAAGGGTGCTTCCTGTTATTAATTAGATTTACGGATACAAGATACATAGTAGATTGAATAATTAATTATCTTTATTACTTGAAAAGACACGCTTAGAAGAGTAATTTCACCAATTTTTAATCAATCATTGTTATTATCATGTTTTGATAGAATTTTTAATTTGACATAATTTATTTAATGTTAATTTACTTTTTTTATAATAATATCATGATTTTTTGCTTGATAATGAACATATTATCTTTTGCGCTAGTACTATTTGGATTTTTTAGATACCAAAAGACCGTTCAGCCGAACATGTTGGGCTGGAAATCCGGTTTAACGGATCTTGGTTAGTCAAAAAAAAAACACTAACCTTTTGAGAAATTATAGTCTGAGGTTGCTTAGCATTGTGGTCAACCCACATGCAAAAATATCATGGTTGATAACACATTATGGCAAGCAGTTGGATTGGAGCCCAGCGGCGAGAAGTTAAATAGGATATCAAACGTGTTTAAAAATTTGGAATAAGCGTTGTATAAAGTAGCTGGATAACGCTATAAAAATTAAAACTTGAACCACAGTGACAATAACGTTTGGAAGTCCGGACCAGACTACATCTATATGGTATATTGTGATAAATCCTGATAGTTTCCTATATAATTGGATTGATTGCTAACTAATTTTTATTGGTTAGTCTGATTGGTCCAATTCTGAATCTAATAGATTGGGTAATATAAACGGGTGAAAAAAACTTCTACATGTTTAGCAGAATCTAGAATCCATAGTAAGAAAAAATCCAGTTCATTGTTACTTCCGGTTAAGACTTATATATTATGTTTTTTTTGGATAAATCCGTTTAACGTTAACTGATATATATTAATTATACAGAATATTGGAAATAAGTCAAATCCGACTTAGAGTCACTTTATATTTGCAATTTTTTTAATTCAATTTTTTATTCTCTATTTGTCAAGTTGGCCAGTAATAGTCTTGATTGTGGAACAAGACTAATAAATACAATAAATAATTTCTTAACCACACAGTTAAACCAGAGTAGTTCGTTCCATTATACACTGTTTTGCACCTCAATCCGGTTTAACGGTGTAATTTATGATTTTTTAACGTAAAAATATAAATTCTATAGTAATAAAAAAATCATATTAATCACACCCGTAGAAAGGGGTAAGTCCGAAAAAATAAACAGCCGCTTATACTTGTGTTTCAAGCAAAATTTCATGCCGATCATTCCTTGGTTTTAACGTTAATAAATCATTTTGGATCTCAAATGATTTATTTGTTGGTACCAAAATAATTATAAACGTTTAGAAGGAATCCGTAATTCCGTCCAGAAGTTCCACACACAGAACCACTATATAGAATAATTACTACCTGTGTTAATAATACTTATCCATATATACAAAAATTGCAATACAAAGCAATTAGAACTCATAAAGAATTATGTAAATCGTGGCGTAGTAGAGAATGTAGCCGATCCTTCCTTAATATACAACATCACATCATCAAAAGAGAACGAGGAAAATACATGTATATAAATTCCAGTCTTCTTCCTTGCCGTGCTTTACTTTCTATATATAATTTTTTCCCTATTTATAAAATCACTATCCAATTTGACTTTGGATTTTATTCTACTGCTTGTTATTTTAGTTTTGGAATTATTCTGATTATATTCAAACTCTTTGACGATACTTTACTATTTTTGATTCACAACAAATTCTAGTGAAGAAGCAACTCCACCCCACTATAACAGATTTGTCTGGCTGAAAACCCCAGTCCGTTATAGTGAATCTCCACTGTGATGTTATTAGCAAAATAACAGTATAAAAATTCCGTTTTGACGCATTCCTTCGCTGTAGCGAGAGAACCAGTCAGTTTAACGGGGTCCGCTATAGCGGGACGTAAGAAAAATTTATTTGACATTAAAAGTACATAATGTCTTTTAGTCTATAAAACATACATTTATAAAATGTTATTTTTGACATCATTTTTTGCCTCAACAATGCAATCCTTATTAGCCGCATCGAGTTTAGTAACTGGAAATATTTTATCTGATAACTTAATATAATAACTTCATGTATAGTTACGCCTTTTCCCAGTTCCAGCTATTATGATCACAACTATTTTTAAGTCACACTCTTTTCCAGTCACGAGGGCGTGATTATAGAGGGATAACTGTACACAGTAAACCAGCAAGTTCTTTATCACGACTCACAGAATAACGACTTAGAGAAAATATAAATATTGTCTCTATTGGTCACTATTATTAGTTCATACAAAAAAAACCTTTTTAAGGAGGTCTCGGTTACTGTGTGATCAGAATTCGCTATGGTGTTTATCTCAAGAGAGCATTTTCTGCACCTTTTGTGGTTTATTACATCACCTTATTTATACTCGCAACAATAGAGTAAGTAATATATAATATATAATATATATCGAGCAAAAATGTTTTCAAAGAACTCCGAATATAAAAAGGAATATTTTATTCCTGCGTCTTCAGACTCTTAATGTGCGTTATATCATCATGTATATTTAAAGACATATAAAATCTTATTAATAAATATACTGCCTTGATATATATTATAATTAAAAAATTTTTTATAAAAGAAAATTTTTTTATATACGTTCCTTGTTTAATTTCATAAGGGGCTTGCAAATAAAACGGCGTACTCTTTCATTCATTGATTTCTCTTTTAAAACGCGGTACCCGAGAAAGCGCGACCTGAGACCCATTACATTATATGCTTTTCTTTGTCAATACACTGTTATACGAGCTTCTTCTCATATTAACCGAGAAAGTACGATCTCAGCCCATTATATGTTTCATTACGTACGCGACCTGAGACCCCGTTTTATTTTTTTTCATTCATCAGTTTCTTTTTAAATACAAGCTTCTTCTCCGACCTGAGACCCATTATAAAAAATTTGCATTATAGATATATGGACTAAGTGTAATAAAAGAAACAATGTAAATTGCACTCATATTCGGAGAATATAATACCGATACTAAATAACACTGTTGTACCAAAGTAATGATTTGTTGACTCTTTTCGACAATCGCGTCAGCGTTGGGATCGTGCTAAGGTTAATAGACCAAATAAAATGAACCGGTCTAGTTCATTTATATATATATCGATATTGTTGCAGTTACATTATATTATATGGATTAGCTTAGTCACAGCAAAAAGAGGCTTAGAGAAAATTTTTTAAATGGAGAACGTAATTGTCCATTTTAGAACATTATATGCACTCAAATGTTATGGTGGTGTGTGATGGTGTTTAATCAGAACTATATTTCGCTCCAAATGTTGATGAAATTTAACGTTAATAAAGAATCATCGTTACTCAAAACATTAAGATCGATGATTTTATCACTGATGAGCTACAGTATATTTAGAATGGAACAATGGCTTGGACAAATATGCCACAAAAAACTTTGTACGTGAATTGTGGAAAGCTATAATATAACAAAAAATTTGGTTATGAATAGAGCATGTATCCAAGAATCTAACCCGATTAAAATCTCAATTTTGTTTTGGGATGCTGTAAAACCCTTTTTGCTGTGAAACAACCCATATTAGACTTTTTTTGGTATTAAATTAGGTCCAATAGTCCATATACTTTGGATTTGACTCGATTATGTCCAAAGTCAAATGACCAATAATCTATGTTCAGAGTTCTAACACTAAATTCCGTGTATATCAGCATAACTTAATGCTATCGATTGCACAGAAACATGGAATTACTTCGATGTGGAGAGCAACTAGCAAATGTAATCGGTAATATGGATGCTTGCCGAAATTATAATAAACTATTAGTAAATAGGACGTCAAAACTCTGCCGAGTTTTGAAGCGTGTAACCTGCCAAGAGGGATTTGGCGATCATCCTTAATCGGTGATACAATGGTGTAACATTTTACAAACGATGTATGGGAGTTATAATACCGTTAAATGGCTCATTTACAGGAGATAATAAAGAAATGAGATCTAATTTCTTTTGTTCAATTTCTTATTACCTTCCAATAAAGAAAATATAATTATCATTTACGAACACCGAAATCTAAGATCAAAAATGAATTCACCATTTTGAAATGTGGAATAAATGCTTTTGGATTTTTCTTTAGGTAGTTAGTGGCAAAACAATGCCTTTATAACTACAAAAAATTGTGTGTTAATTGGTTACCGTAATTTACCGCATAAACCACCCCTTCATAGTAGACCCCCCTAATAATTTTCTTCTTTTACTAATTAAATTTTCTAGTGAAATGCGGGTGGTTTATGCAGAAAATTACTATTTTTAAAATTCTGTGTTTATTATTGTTATTTTTATCCAAAAAAAAAAGGATAATTATGATAATAAAGATAGACAATTTTTTTCAAATTTATGCATCATGATTTTTAGGCAAACTATAAGTTTATGTTTGTATAAAAAACTTTACTGATTATATTGTTTGGATTTTAATTCAAACTTTTTTTAGCCCATTTCAACATTACTATTGGTTCGTTGCAGCACATCATAAACAAGAGTGTCAATTCGCAAGTTGCTGTTTTTATACTTGTTTATTGAATATATCACGATATTCAACACTCTATAAAGACATTGCTTTTAATTTATAATTTTAAAACAATAAAATCACAAACTGATATTTTCTATCTCAAAATAACTTAAATAATTTTAAAAATTCTTTTTGGCGTCATTTTCTTCATCAGAAACATCCAGAGAGGTAATATTAACGCAAAAAATTTTGCTTGGATGGTGCAAAGAAGACTTTCAGAATTTTTCAAACTGTCATTCTCCATATCGCGTAAATTATCGAAGAGTATACGTACGCATATATCTTTGTGTACATGTACTTTGATATTTATAATTCTTCCGCATTTAATGAATGTATTGGAATAGACTGTTTATTGGTTATATTATTATTAATATTGCGCATATTGTTCTATCGAAACATTATAGTCAAACCTCGATATAACGATATGGGGATGGTTAGTAAAAAATTCTACAAATATCGAGAACTTATTATAAAGAGATTTTAATTAATCATCGTAATAACGGATTGACTTAAACGCACACACTTTTTTACATACGTACTATATATATACATGTACATGTATAATTCTATAAAGTTCATTAATTGGGTAAGAGTGTTATGGTGTGTAAATCACGTGAAAAAATCGCTTTATATTAATATCGATATACAGTAATTAATCATACACTTTGCAGGTCCAATTAGATACCGTAAAGTTACAGAATAAGCACCACACCCCCCCCCCCCACTTTAGATTCTAGCCTCTTAAAAGGGCAAATAAGTACCACTTTTTAATAAATAGAAATTATCGAGAATAATAGCAAACTATTAGAAAATCATTTGCGATTTATATATATCCCAAAATTAGTAACAAATTAATCAACATCGTATTGTCATTTAGGAGACCGGCTGGTTATTGAAAATACTAACCAGGAAACTATTACCGATATAAAATTAAATTTAAAATAGTCTGTCATTGGTCAATTCCTTATTTTGGATGAACTTTGTATTTTCGATTTTTTAGAACAAGTAGTGTACTTTGAAAGAGTGAATTAATTGGAAGTGCGTAGTGGTATTCGGAAGGAAAAAATGAAATATGACATTTGAAAGTTCTTGCTCAATGATAAACGCACGTGTTGCAAAATTATCCAACAGAAGCGAACGATTTGCCAATAATTAAGATATTTGTTTGCATCCAGGGCAATGTTGGTGAGTCAATGGACTGGAACACTGGACCAGTGTTCAATTGAGAATAGTCCATGGATCCAGTATCACCACTAGAGCTGGTCCATTGGCAAAATGATACGGGGTGTACTATTCCAATAATAGTAACATTGCGGAAACAACGAGGAGTTCGGAACTCATGGATAAAAACAGGAATGATTTTTCACCGGGAGCACGGCGAGCTTTGGGTAAGTCTACATTGGTAGCTTCTTCCGCCTTAAGACTCGATGAAATGTTGTTTCGGTTCATACCCATCTGAACCATTAAAATTCGGAATACCAGGGAACACAAATGTCTTCCGATTCTGGAGTTCGTTATCGTTTTGTTTTTGATGAGGAAGAAGATGAGTCGATTACTAGCCATTTTTTTTTTCTAGAATCCAGAAACCGTTGCTTCGGAAATATTGAATTCCTCGGCCAACTCGAGATTAGTAATATTTTATCTTATTATTTGGTATAGGCGATATCGGTCAGCATTTGTTAACGTATGTCGTTTGATTTTTTCGTACTCTCTTCCTTCCGTAACCCAATTTTCAGCTGCACACTTGAATTCTATCAATACCCCCTCTTCCAACGTTTCCTTCAGTTCCTCCAAACTTTCTTTCAACGTTATCTTTCAAACCGTCCCCCCGTGCTCTTCGCGGATTCCGACGTGCCCGGAGTGTTGCCGGCCATGACGCTGAGCGAAAAATCGGAAATCAGAAAAATTATTATTGGCCGTAATAAGGTGCTCCGGTGAGCGACGGAAAAATTTTTTGGTTATAAATTACGTGTTTCGTTGTATCGCGATGTATATCGGGCGTTTTTTAAAATGATTTCGTTATAACATGAATTCATTATATCGCAGGATCGTTATATCGAGAGTATCTTTATAATAGTAATAACGTCACTCGTAGTCGTCGTAATTGGTATTTGAGCATCGATTAACTGGCATTCGAGTTTAAATCGACTAATTTGTATATCGATATATATTTGATAGCTTAAAAGGACTAATAATAAAAAGCAAAAATTTGGGAGGATAATAACAATACTAATAAATTCATCTAACACAAAGAGCAAAATTAAATTTTGCTATAAAATAAAAAACTGAAATAAACGGAACACTTGGTTAAAAAATGTAGATAAAAAAGCGAATAACTTTCTCGGAGAAATAAAGATTAAACGAGTCTAACGAACAAAAACAAAACATTAAAAAATAAATTATGTTTGAAAACACATTATGGCAAAGCACACACATTATTTCAAGCAGTTATATTGGAGCCCAATGACCACAGTGGTATCAATAAACGTTTGACCCAATCAAATTGCTTGAAATAATGCGTGTGCATTGCCATAATGTGCTGTCAATCATGGTGTGTGTGGTTCAGCTGTAATTCTAGCTCAGTGAACGGAAGTTAAAGCATATGTGTGTGTCGGCTGCAATTCTATCACAGAATTTGTTATTAAAGCAAGTGAAATAAAGATAATGATATCGAAAGTGTTTGGAATTTTGCCAAAATGCGTTGTATAAAATATCTCGATGAGAAATTAAAGGTTGGACCACGGTAACGTTGTACCCAAGCTAACCGCTTGAAATAATTGCCATAATGTGCTATCAATCAGCGACGAAAGTGGAATAGTATATGAAATAAGATATGAACATTCATCCATGTCCCTTAGTTATTAAGCTTGCCACCCGTAATTGTTTTGCAAAGTTGTAATGTTGCAACCTATATGTTGTAATTGTTGCAATGTTGCCACTTATATGTCGTAATTTGTTGTAATAATTACGGCCAGCAAGCTTAAAGTCACTACTTAAATAGTTTTTCCATGTAGTTTTTTCATTCATACATTGTCTTTAATGGAAATCGTACGATTATACACTATTTATATGGTAAAAATAAACATGCCAATGCTTTATATCAAATCAAATTATTTATAAACTATCGTTATCGCTATCCTCTGAATTAATACTTAACCTTAATCCTACAATTTCCGTATTCGGTTTTACTCGGTTTTACTCGGGTCTAACGCTAATGCTTGTTCAAGTTAACTCATGCAGTGTACATGTTCAAGGAAACTCGAACAGTCAAATTCCTCCACTATAGTTACACTCACATATCAGCATATCACCCAAGTGATCAGAATTAATTATATTTATAATCACACCTCTCTATAGTCGTTCACATTTCCAAGAATGGTATTATAAAGAGACTTGATTGTATATATTTTAACATGTAAATGTTTTAGACAATTTTATAATATTAATTTGATTTCATAAATGCTATATAATTCCATAAATAGATAAAATAAATGTAAATTACGTATCTTATAAAAATTACGGTCATAATTAAAATACTTTTATGAAATTACCATTTTTATTTTAATAAAATATATATAGTATTTGACTTATTACAAAATAAAAATTAACTTAATTGTATAAATTTAATTAAAAATATTTTCCAAATTACTTTTGTTAAATAAAGTAATTATCTAGTTGTAATTTTAAAGCTATTGAAAAATAATATTAAGATATGCTGATTTTTAGTTTTATTTCTTAGATCTCAAAGTATATATATATATATTATTTGATAATTTTCATTAAATTAAAGATAGAAATCTAAGTGCAAAAACTTTTACTACACATTATACATATAAATACAACAATTAACAGCAGAAATATGGCACTGTTCAATAGAAAAGAGGCAAATCAGATATTTACTTTTTAATTGTTATAAAACTTTAAAGTATGAATTTATTGTTATATGTTGCTGAATCGTATTCGATTTGCCTCTTTTCTATTGAACAGCGCTCATATTATGTTGCATCTAATTAAATTACCAAATAAAATCTTATCACTTTGAGGCTGTAATTGCAAGAAATATATGAACAGTGATAGAAAAATAAAAATCTTAATTTAGCCATTAATTGAAAGCATTAAGTAAAACCCGGATAAATCTAGTAAACACGAATTTCCAAATTCTCTACTGATATGGATGGTGTAGAAACGCTTAAATCGACAATATATATTCAGGTTAAAAATTCTATCAACTCTTAATTAAGAAGTAAAACCAAAATTTGACCGGTAATATTATAGAAAAGGACTTGCTTGATAATATTACCGGTCAAATTTTAGTTTACTTCTTAATTAAGAAGCTGATGGAATTTTTAACATGAAATATATTTAAGAGTTCCTACACCATATCACAATCACTTCGATTTATTGAGATACTTTCGTGTCTATTATTCTGTGAGATATTAGCATAAATAAATAAAAAAGTTTTTATTTAGTGTTACAATAAACTATACAGTCTACTGTAAGTCTGCTATAGTTTATTAATTTATTTAAATGTAAATTTATACAATGTCCAACTTAATTTATAAACGTTTTACTTGAAATTTAGAATAAATTTGGTCTCTTTACCTGAGATAGAATATTAGTTTGAATTGAGTAATTCAAAATAAATCCAATTTTCAGCATTTAAATATCAAGAACTCTGTATATTATTAAATAAAAGATACTATTCTGTTGACGTTTTAGTATTTCATGCTAAAAACGAATTACATTTGAAAAAGCTAACTTTTAACTGTTTCTCTATTAATTTAGACAATAGCTTTGCCCTACTTCACCGAGAGTTGCCACAAAAATGTGATGGTAGTTTCAATTATAATTCAGCACATTTAAACTAAATGAAAGATCCCCCTAATTTGTTACAGCTCAATACTGAATTTAAAACAACTGCAAGAACCCCTGATTATAGATTATAGTATGTTGGAACCTCATCGTGTTATCTACAGTCAAAGTCAAAACTTGATATAATGATAGGTCGGTAAATATCGTTAATCGAGAATTTATTATAAACATCGATATACATGTATTGAGGAAATTTTATTAGAAGTGTTTTTAGATTGTCATCGTTATCTCGAGATTTTGATTAGTCATCGTTATATCGAGTATCTGGTATATCGAGTTTTGACTACTAAGTAAATACAGTTTTATCTCCATATAACCACTCCCTCGGACTAGGAAAGTGTATGAAGGTCTAAATTTCCTAAGCTGGAACCGGAAAAAGTGTGATAAAAAATATGAGGGCGTTATTTTTTATCAATGATAAAATTTCAGTTGTACAGTATGAGATTAAAAGCGGTTAGACATCGCCAATACATACATATAGTAAATAAAAATTTTTTTTAAATTGAGCAATATAAATAAAAAAATAAATATATTTATACATTCAATAAGAACATAAATAGCCAGTTCTCCGCTCAACGTCGTCGATATCTTACAAAAACAGAAAACTATGTTCATCTTATATAAAACTCTTCTACTTTCTAAATCTACGTACGTATATGCATTATCGCATGTAGCTTTGATACATGTATTTATAAAACTATAGAGCCGAACACAATAAGAAAACATAGATGGGTTATAAAGTCTTAATAAATTTTATATGATTTTAGAACCGAATGAAAAACTGAACCGAACCGTTAGGATCCTTAGTAAAATCAATTCCTTATTTTATAAATACTAATAAAAGCTTTAACTTTTAGTATTCTAAACTATTGAATCTTTTAACAAATCTAGATACAGAAATCGATTTTTGGTGAGGCTAAAAACTAATTGAAATTTGAAGAGCATAAAATGTTGGTTTTAGCAATCTTCTATTAGCCACATTGAGTTTGACTAATACAATTCACTACTCGATATTAGAATCATTAATAAACTTCAACTCGATATAGTGAAGTTACATAATATTCTCTCAAATATAAGATATAGTGAAGATTTTTTCCCTTACCCCAAATGTGATGGGTGTCAAAATTCATAAAAAATCAAGACATCATGGATGTCGATATGACGATATATTATCGACATACTTTTTCTAAATGCTTGTGTCAAAATTATTTTGACGATTGTAATTCAAGTCTGTCGAATTAATTTTAGTATAGCAGATATATTTTAACATGCAGAATTTATTAGTATACCAGTTTATTTTAGTATGTTGAATTTATCTTAGTATATCGATGTCAGCAATCAGATCAATCAAAAATACATATTTTTCATTTCCTATTTGATTTTTTTATCCAGGCTCATGCTAATATTTTCTTGATATGCAGAAATATTTTTTAGCAGCCTAAAATCTTTAGACATGCTAAACCATTTTAAAAACTTAAATATTATGACATGCCGAAATATTTAGATAACTTAAATATATATGACATGTGAAAATATTAAAATATTTACGATATACAAAAAATTTTATGACATTCAAATTATTTATCGACATTTGTTACGACTATCAAACACCCATGTATATTCTTCAGTTTGAGTGAAAATAATTTGTATACGATCATCCAACATGAGGTTGGATCCTAAATATCCATTGGCTAATTTTTGTCTATTTAGAATAAAAAAGATAATATAAATGTAGACTACTTGTACTTAAAATTTATTAACCAATTATTTTATGAGATTCTATTTATTCACAAAATATAGTCACATCAAATACTTTGGATTGCAAATAATTTTTTATATGAACTTTAAATATAAAAAATATATTATTTAATAGTTTTTAATAAGTACTATCAAGAAATATACAGTCAAATCCCTCTATAGTCACACCTATTTATAGTCATATCTCTCTATAATTACTCTATTTTGCTTTTCCATTTATATATAAATATAATAAAAAATCACTCTATAATTACATTCTCTTTATAATTATCCAATTTACTTTTTTAAGAGTGATAATTATAAAGAAATTTGACTAGTTTTATTTTAAAGTTTTATATATTTTTAATAAGAAATATAATTTTAAATAATATATACACCACTATACTATATTATCAGAAATTAAAAAAAAATAGTAAAATTAATATCATTTCTTTATATTAAAATTTATTATTTTATTAATAAATATTTTTTATTTTTATACAAAAATAATCTATATTTTTGATATATATTCTTTTAGAATTTTTTGTTTACTTGCAATTTTAATTATAAAAAATTTTTTTCTCACATTTATAAGTAAACAAAAAACTTTAAAATATTTTAAAAAAATATATTAAAAATATAGATTATTATCTTTATTTTAGTATAAAAATAAAAAATATTTATTAATAAAATAATAAATTTT